TGGCCGCCACCTGGACTTAACTCTGTTCAGCACGACTCTCTCGGCTCGGCCATCCAGACAGTTTTTTATCCAGCAAAGGGTATTCCTGACAAAGCCATTCCCCCTTTACGGTGGGCAGATCTTCCTTCTCCCAGTACAAATGTGTACAGTGTTGAACAAATGCACTGGTTTTGATGCAGATATTGTCCAACTCCTGACACTATTTTAAGCCAATACATGTTTTTAAATCACACTTGCTTTATGAATCAGTTCTTACTCAGTTAAAATATGAAAATACTAATAAGCAAAAAGTACAAAATTCCCTGGAATCACATTATCATTTTGGAGATGGTGGGATAAAAATGGAAGCACAGAGGATCTTAAGTAAATTTTCTTTTTACTAAGACCCCAAGTCATCACCAAACTGAGACACAGATGAGGAGCAGCTGTGAGAAGGGAAATTTGTTCTAGAACAGTCTATACTTATGCACTATAGAAAAAAGTTCTAAGGAAAATATCCCTTTCACAGGATTTTTGTTTCTTTGTTTTTACAAATATTATCATTCTGGAACACTACAGAAAAGACACATATATATTTAAGATACAAGACCGCTGAGCCATACTATACCTTCTTTAAGTAAGCTATAGCAGAAAAGGCGGGCTCTTTCCAAATCTCCCAACTGTCGACAAATTGCTGTATAAACTCGACATAGAGACTGATTGAAATTGTAATTTGTGCCCATCTTCTGAGCCTTCAGTTTATTGAGAATAACATGCAGCAAGGACTCTGCTAAATGCTATAAGGCACAAAAAACACTGTTAGACTATTGAGAATATTTGATAACATTACAGCAGTATGACAAGTAAAAAGAACTACTATCTTATTTGCAAAAATACTGTTTGCATACATACAAAAATGCAGAAAAGTAAATCAGAGGCAACCAATGAAAGAAAAGAGAGTGAGGAGCTACTTCCCAGAACAAACATGCATTAAACAGACACAGAGTAGGAATACTATTCTTTAAACATCAATTGTTTAGTTATGTGATTAAAAACTATCTTCCTCAGATAAAACATGAGGATAGGAATAATGACAGGTAGAGGAACCCACAATAACTCAACCAGAAGGAATGGAGCACCCTGACTTGGCTACTCCCATCGCTGTCACAGGGGAACAAACAGCATGCTGAGTCCCTTCCCAGATCACCTTCCACACTACAGGAGGTGGGGAGGGGGTATTACAATCTACAGTAACATGGGACTCAAAACAAGAAGCAAGGAAGGAGGATATTTGGATTGCGCAAGACCTACTACAGGATGTTTAGAGGGAGGGCTAAAAGTGGGAAGTAGAATGAGAGGCCTAGGAACCAGGTGCTGGAGAGGCCACAGGCTTAGACTGGATATCTCCAGACACAAGGGAGTCTGGCTGTCGGCTTTGTGAGGTTAAGCCAGCTACCTGATAGACTAGAAGTCTGAGGGTCAGATGCAGGTAAGTCCATAGGTCTGGACTGGCTGCCGGAGGGATGCGTGCGCACTTTTGTGCCTGTAAGTCTGTCAGTGCATGAGAAAAGTGGGAGTCATCTACTGGATAAACTGAGTGTTCGATGTTAGCTACTGGAGAGATCTATACTGTCTGTATATATCTATGTATTTTCTACTACCAGGCTTTCACCCTGACCAGCCAAAGTGAACAAAATGAGGTGCATACTGTGTGCATGTGTGCCCATTAGTACTTGGCCTTGCTACTGATTGAACCTGGAAACATAAAGCTGCTGCAGCCTTGCTTCTATAAAGTTACCAGATTTGGCAAAGATGACTTGAGAACTTGGTAGCAACTTCTGTGAAGAACTGAATTATGCTCAAGAACTGAAACAGGGCAAAATGCTGCCATGCATCAGTTGGTGAATAACTCTGTTGCAGACTACAAATTATCTATGAGAAAGATGGCAATTAAAGCTAATGTTTTTAACACTGATGGCAAGCAAGTGCTGAGAAACAAACTAATGAATGATTTTTCCAATAAAATTCATCTGAACAACCTGAAGTAGAATAATAAAGGTAAACATGGAATGAAAGGGTATGTCACTGTTGTATATACAATGCAGTTTATCTTATTTAATTGAAAAAAACAAACAAAGGTAATCAAACCTCACATTTTTACAGGAACTCCAATTGTTAATGCTATTCACTAAAAAATGCTGCAAAAATAAAGTGGCTTACGCATACATCAGGAAAGCAATTTACAAATGTTTTGGGCTTGGACACTAATGAACAGTAATTTCTTGTGAAGTTTTGTATTTTCTTAAGTTAAACAAGTCTAAATGCCTGATAACCTTTCAAGACTACACCTTGGCACTGCAGATTGCCTGAACAATTGAGAATTCACATACTACATACTTATACTCTCTTCATCTGCACAGAACTTATTATTAAACCACAAAATTATAAATTACCTTGTTTTTTATAGCAAATTCATAGACAACTTCTTTCTCTTCATCTCTCATTATTGGCATCTTTGAGATATTGCCGACATACACGTGACCTTTAATGACTGGTAACAAGTCAAAACAGGATTCAGCAATTTTCTTCAATGCCAAAGAAACTTTCTGGCAGTCAGAATCAATAACCTTCTTTACTGGTAGTGATGCTTCTAAACTGAAACTGCATGCTGAATCACTGATTTTACAGCTTGTGTCATGGAAAGTCTTCTGCATTTCAGAGGTTGTATTTTTAGTACTTTTGATAGCAGCAATATCACTGGACTCCAGCTTTGGTGGTTCACTGTCCAACCTCAGTCTCTTTGCACTTCTTGGCATAGATACTGGCAACAGCGTCTGTTTTTGAAGATGATTTGATGAGGTGGAAAACAATTGTTGATTTTGCACATCTTTGTCTTGATCTTTGCTGCTATCAGTTTTCAAATTGCTCCCAGTTTTAACAAAAGCAGTTGATGTAGATGCAATTGCCTTGAACCCACCTATCTGAGCCACAGGTCCTGGCAAACTTTGGCTGTCTGAAAAAGCACATCGGTTAAGCTGAATATTGCCTTTCAGAATGTTTAGTGTCCTTGCCCTTGCAGATAGCTCTGGATACATAGTGTCCAATATTTTCACTGAGTTTTCCTGAGAAGCACCTGGAGCAGCGCTATCAGTTGCAAACAGAGGCAACCTTCCTGGGACGGGAAGTGCATGCTTTGGAATGGAAGTACAAAATTTCAAAGGTGAGGAGCGAATCCTTCTACCCGTTGCCACTTCTGAGGGTGAGGGAGGAGAAAACAAAAGGGCAGATTTTACTGTTGGAGTGTCTGTTAAAGGAGACATGAGAGGAGGAACAGGAGTTTCACGTAGTGGGGATATCAAGTCATCAAGAGGGGAAAGCAAAGGGGATTGACCAGTAGAATACATTACTGGAGACATGGTACATGCAGCTTTTGGAGGAGTAGCAACCAAAGGCGGTAGCAAGGGGGGCAGAGGAGGACCCATCTCTTGCCTAATCTTATTTATAGTCTCAGTTGAGCATTGTGTTGGCATAGAAGTATCAGCATTTGCAAGAACTGTCTCAGTTAGTTTAGCTTTGAGACTCTTTGTTTTTCTTTTACCTTGAAACCGTCTCTTTGATAGCTTGGCATGCATTACTTGGGCAGCTGTCTTGGTTGAAAAACTCAAGATTTCAGATGGTTCTTGCTCTTTACACTTCAATTTACTGCTCTTTTTGAGAGCAACATCCACACATGGCTGTGAATCCAACATCCATAGCTTCTCAAATACTGTTTTTTGTGGCTCAGAAGGCTGCCTAACTGTTTGGCAATTGCCCTCTACATTAGATAGGGCTGGATTTGAAAGACAGTTGACAATTTTTTTTTTTCTACCACTACCATCTAGGATATCAGTGTTGTTTTCTCCTTTGTTGCAAGCAGTACAAGTTTGACTATGATTATATTCTTCAAACACTGAGACTCCCATATTAACACCATGTAGTAGACTTTGCTCTGTATTTGACTGAAGTTTTTCAGAAGTATTTGCTTCTAAGAAATTGCCGAGTGCTAACATTCTTCTATTTAATTTACTGTTTCTTACAGCCAGTCTGCAAGTTTCTGAGAATCTGGTTAACATCTGGCATTTATTTTTTGAAGCATTTGGCATCACAAGGCTTTCTTTTGATGTCCCAGTTTTTAACTGACTTTCCTCGCTGTCATTGATGCACCCAGCTCTGTTAGAATCTACCATGCATTCATTAGCACCCTCGTTTTTTTCAGAGGTTACTAATATACATTCTCCTTCCCCAAGCACACTTGATAACTCATTTGCAGTATCTGGAGAGGTATTTGTTTCACAGTGTGTATCTATATCCACCATAGTGTCTCCTTTTACTGTCAAAGTATTTCCTGGGTGCATTGTCGAATGAAGTTCACATGCTTGGTAATCAGCATCAACAATTGCACCAGTTTCCAGAGCACCCACTGCAATTCTCTGGGAAGCTCTCAGTTCCTTTCTGAACACGGGAACACATTCAGAACATTTTACATATCTAACTTTTTGTATAGAACAGTCTTTCTCTTCAGATTCATCACTCTGCTCTGACACATCAAAATCACTGTTAGACCTTTTTATGGCATTTTTCCCAGATGCCTCTAAACTATTCCATTCTTTGCTTACTCCCCCAGCTGTTAGTGAACCAGTTCTAGAAGGATCTGTTCTAACCCCCCATGTAGAAGTCCTGCATCCTGATTCTTGAAAATCAGACTTTTGGAGAAGAAAAGTATTCTTACTATAAGAATTTGCATCCAGGACCTGTGATTTAACAGATGCCTGAGGTTCTTTTTCTACTGGCTGCTCCTTCTCATCTGGAATTTTCACTTCATTTTTGTGTACGTACTCCCTCTCAGGGCAGTCCAGTTCTTTGCACAGGTCTTTTTCAGCAGACAGGATCTCAGCACCCTCTTCCATACTTTCTGAAGAACAGTTAAATGCACTACTTGTAACACAATTTTTATCTCCTTTGTTTTCCCATGTACAGGACAAAGCTGCCTTTTCTGTGAAGTTAGTTTCAACAAAACTGACAGCTTTCTGAAGATTGAAATATAGATCAGGAGGCATTGTAGATTCCAAGCCAACTGCTGCTTGCATAGGAGAATCTGCTTCTTCAGTATTTATACAGCCCATCTCCAAGTCCCCTTGAGTAGAAAAAGCCAAGCCATTATTAAAAGCCATTTCTGAAGTTGGCTGGCAGATGATCTGTGAAATACTGTTTTTCTTCACAACATTCTCTTGACAGTTAAATGAACTGGAACAAGTCTCAGTCACCAATTCCTTGCTTTGTTTATGTAATTCTCCTTCTATTTTATCATATTTAACATTTTCAGTTACCAAGAACTGATTCAGAGGTTTTGCAAATTGTGCCTGAGAAGTAAGATTACTTTCTACTAAGACAGATTCATTGGTATCCACTCTTTCTAACAGCTCACGGCTTTCCTCTCTGAAACCTGGATTAACTTTGAATTCAGTCTCTTGAGATTCAAACACTTCAAAGTTTTGAGTTTTGGACAACCCACATTCTAATGTACTACCAAGGTTTTCAGGTTGTTTTATTTCACCTTTTATTTCTGTAAAATCGAACACAGAGGATTCACACTTAGCTACACTGCTTTCTGCACCAATAATACATGCTGTCTTTGGTAGTGTGAGTATACTTTCCAAGTCTGACTTTCTTTGCGATAAATGACTACCGTTTTCTTCCTGGTGTGGTTTGCCTTTTAAATATGCCCCCTCCTCTATATCTACTAATTTTCCACTTTCTGCACTGTGGAGTAGCTCTGACGATTCAGATATTTCAAGTATACTTTCTCTGTCAAATTTCCCAGATAGTTCGATAGCCTCAGGTCTGGTTATATTCATGTCTTCAACTCTGAGTGGTTCTTCATCTTTTTGAAAGGCTGACAAAGCAGTTCTCTCCATACCTACATTTTTGTCCATGTCACCCATAGACAATGAATTTCTGATTCCTTCAATAGCAGATACAGGTAAGTAGTGTCTAGAAACTTTAACAATCTCTGGTTCACATTCCCTGTCTGCTTCATCTTGTACTGTTTGCACACCTTGTTTTTCCAGTGTCTCTTCACCTTCATGTTTTATTTCAGAGCACTGAGAGTGTGCAGAGATCTCCATAGCTCCAGTGTGTGCCTCAGTCTCCATAATTATCCCCTCCCCATCACACTGTGTCGTTAGGTTTTTAGGACACTTCTTTGAACTACTGAAATCAGAAAACGCATTCTCAGAGATCTGTCTCTCATTATTTGTCTCCGCGCAGAGTCTTTTAATCTGTATTGCAGCTGTTATTTTGTCTCCAGTTATCAACTGTTTCACGTTTTCTCCTACATGACTTGCCATATTAGTTACTTTGATTCCATTTTTTGATTCATTTTCAACTACTTCATTCTGTACCAACACACCAGATTTCTCTTCCGAATCTTCACCTTGAAGCACAATGCATTGCTCAGGTGACAAATGAGTAACATTTTGGGGAACAGATATTGCCCTGGGAGTTTCTATCTCTCCTGATAATGCATGCCTTTCAGCTTTCATTAATTCACCGTGCTTTTGATGTGTACTCTCATAATTAACAGCTCTGATTAAGATTACATTCTCCTCTGTTTGCTCTACCTCACTACATTTTCCCATCGGATTCTGAGGCTTGAAACTGTGCAACATAGAATCAGGTGAAGAACCTCCCCCTTCGCTGTCAATGTCCTCTCTACGTCCTTTCTGTTCTTCGATGGCTTCCAATTCATGTGCTGTTGCTTCAGTTAGTTCTCTCTTCTCAGTTTTCATGTTCTCTGAATTTTCCTCCAAACAATCTTTGTTAGTTTCCATGTTTGTTATTAAAGTAGCAGCTTCAGCTTGCTTTGCTTCAGCACCTCTCTTGCTTGACGTCTTTGGAGCAATATGAACATTCTTCTCATTCTTTCCATTCCAATTCAGGTTACATGAGATTTCTGCATCAAGACCATGCTCAGATGATTTGCTGTGTTTGTTACACTCCTCGCTGAGGCTGAGTACATTACAACTCTGAGGCTGAACTTGGTCGTCTTGTAAAATATCCTCCACTGCAGAAACACCGCAAGCAACTTCTTCATTGCTGGAACCTCTGACTTCTCCAAACAATATATCCTTTAATGAAAAGCACAAAGTTAACATTCCAAAGCCTGGTATCAATTTTAAGATCTATTTCTCTAAATAAATACACTGGTGGCCCTGACATGCAGTGATTTTCAGAAATGAAGGCTGATCAACAGAATTACATCCCTCTCCATCATTGTTCTTCACAGCAAATGGAAAGTACCTCTGAGAAAAGTCAGAGACTTCTTTACATACCTAATTGCACTCTAAGATTACTGGAAAACAACATTTGATTAAGTTCCCCTTCACTTTCAAGCTGTGGAACTTTGCTATGAAAGCCAACAGGAGTTGGAACTGTAAGTCTGCAACACTGGGAAAAGAAATTATGACAGCAGTTGAGATAGAGGTGACTTTGTTTTAAATATATTTCTGAAAAGTATGTTTTGCCCCTTTCCACAGGCAGTATGCTAGAAGGTAAAAAAGTATCCACATGGTGTAAACGCTCACACAGAGACATTTTCAGTGGATGAATAAGTAATACTGATACTAAAAAAAAAAAAAAAGCTCTGGAACATAAAATCATTATTTTTGCAGAAATTATATGACCAAGTTAGTGCCAAGTCAGACACAACCTGTTACTCACCTGTGCAGACAGTGGTGAAAGCTGTACTGGAGAAAGTAGAGCGGGGAGAGGCCTGGCCCAATTCAATATATCCATCACATTTCCCCCTGGGCCCTTTTGCTCCTGATTGGAGAAATCTGAACTGCTCTGTGACCCATCTGTCTGGATCACCACATCTACAGTTTTATCCTCTTCACCGTGCAGACATTCTTCAGCAGTCGTGTTCTCAACACAGTCACCTCCAGAAGGCTCAGTACTCACTTGAAGTTGCATGGCTGTTACAGAATTTTGCTTTCCAGCACTTTCTAGTGAAGAATACCAAGGTAGTGTTTTGCCGTCACGCTTCCTGATCTTTTGGTGGATTTGTACAGTTTCTAAGACATAAAAACATTGTTAAGAATTTTTCTACCCTCCCATTTTTCTTTAAAGAGATAATATATCATAGTAATAAGAATTAATTACCATCTTTTCAAGTGATGTTCCCACAGACTAGTAATAAGAAGCACTTACTGTCATTTTCAGAAATACTTTTCTTACAGAGAACAGATGTTGTTATTCACAAACAATTCTTTTTTCATGAAAAAGGTATATGTATGTGCAAAGAACTCCTCCCCAAACCACTTTCTGACTTGGATCATTAAGCCTATTCTTCCCAGTTTTTCTTATCAGGGAGAGCCATACTGGGTAGGACTGAAGGTCCATACAGCTTAATGATTTCAGTTTCATCCCAGTAACTGATGTTCAGGAAAAGAAGAACAAGTAGGCAGTGACATTCCCCACTTAGGCTGTCGTTGTCAGCTTAAAGCAACTTGCAGCTTTGAGACAGCAGCTGCACTTGCAGAGCAGTTACAATTACAGTAAGGGAGTTCTTAGCTCTTTTCTTAGTTTTATGATTGAATAAGCATATGTTTTTAAAGTGTTTGTTCTTTAAATTTCAATATTGACTCTAATCGTACAAGATTTTGTCTTTAATGATGTGACTTACTTAAAGCTGGACCCTTAAAAAAAACACTTTCTTAGAAGTGAGGGTCCCCCTGCAACATACCTATGCCTAAAGGAGTCTGAACCACTATGACAGGAAAGATACTGAGCAGTTGACAACCCTTCCAAGACAGTGTCAACTATACCAGTTTTACACAGTTAATCTATCAGATAGAAAGCATGTCCAAATGCTCTGTGTGATTCTTTGCACTGTACTTTTGTTTTGTTCCTTTTCAAATTACACTTTCTCTTATTACACCCATTTCTTCTGCACACAAACAGAACACATTGCCCCAGGGTATTCTAAACAGTAGAGACAAAGAATTTAAATATTGATTATAATTGTGATAGATACTTTTAACTGAAAAGATGGCCCAATTTTTCTGAAATTTTCATTCTATGATTTTATAAAAAGAAAATATGACCTCCAATAAAACAGCAGAAATCAACAATTCCAAAACCCCAGTGTGACACACAGAATTAAAACCTACTCTGTAGTATTTGTAATTCTTATACAACATTTATATGTGTGATCTTGTTTATAGTGCTCACAAACACTACTGCACACAGAATCAACAGTATTCAAGGATCTCCTATAATGCTTTCACAATGGCACATTTATTGGAAAAAGCGTGAATGGAAAGCCTGATGAGTCTTCCACTTTTAATACGTGAACATGTTCTTCAAGAAAGCCATTCAAAGTGGTATCAATATTGGTGGAACAGAGAAGGCACTGATTGTAATGCAAAGCTTTGGATATTTTACAGCACACTTGAGTGTACCAAGAAATCAGCCAAAGAGGTATCTTTCTGAAAGGCTAGATCCAGGCAGAGAGATGAACTGACTTTCTCTGGAAAAGATGCTTCAGCAATTCTACTATCAAGAGGATTTGCTCTCTGAGATGCAACCATTATAATACGGGACAAGAAATTAAGGCAAACTCATTAAGATCCTTTTTTTTTTTTTTTTTTTTGGCTAGAAGGTTGCATCTGTCAACACAAGCATTTTGTTATTATGAATCCAAGGTAAGGGTCACTTTCAATATAGGCAGAACAAGATGGCTCTCTGAGGCTTAAACAGGGAAAAAAACAAACCCAAAGCAACAGAAAATAAGATGTATTTTTACGATATCTAGCCACTCCAACAAAAGCAAAAGAGAGACTGATAAGAAGGGACTGTTATGGAAATTGCTCATTTTGTGAAAGTACTGTAGCTTCCTTGAAAAGATGTGAATAGGAAAGATGAAACAGGACTCCTGGAATCCAAAGCTCCCCTTCTCATGGATGGGAAGAGGATGATACTGGAACTCAATACCCCTGAAATCACCCATATTTCAAACTCTTCAGATTTTTGTGCTTGTTCTTATCATTTGATTGATCAAGAAATCAAATTCAGAACCTCAGAGGACAACTGCCTAGCTCAGTTTTGGAGCTGAAGCCACAGATCTGCTGCATTAAACTGGTGGGAGTGATGTTGGTAACTGGCTAATGAGCTGGTCATTGTACAGGCCGGTCAGTCTCACCTCTGTGCCCTGCCAGATCATGGAGCAGATCCTCCTGGGAACTATGCTAAGGCACATGGAAAATAAAGAGGTGATTGGTGACAACCAACATGGCTTCACTAAGGGCAAATTGTGACTGATAAATTTGGTGGCCTTCTATGATGGGGTCACAGCACTGGTGGATAAGGGAAGAGCAACCGACATCATCTACCTGGACTTGTGCAAAGCCTTTGACACTGTCCCATGCGACATTCTTGTCTCTAAATTGGAGAGACATGGACTTGATGGAAGGACCACTCAGTGCATAAGGAATTGGCTGGATGGTTGCACTCAAAGAGTTGTGGTCAATGGCTCAATGTCCAAGTGGAGACCAGTGACAAGTGGTGTTCTGCAGGGGTCAGTACTGGGACCAGTGTTGTTTAACATCTTTGTCGGAGACGTGGACAGTGGGACTGAGTGCACCCTCAGCAAGTTTGCCAATGACACCAAGCCGTGTGGTGTGGAGGACACGCTGGAGGGAAGGGATGGCATCCAGAGGGACCTGGACAGGCTGGAGAGATGGGCCCGTGCCAACCTCATGAAGTTCAACAAGGCCAAGTGCAAGGTCCTGCACGTGGGTCGAGGCAATCCCAAACATAGATAGAGAGCAGCTCTGAGGAGAAGGACTTGGGGGTGCTGGTTGATGAGAAGCTGAACATGAGCCAGCAAAGAGCACCTGCAGCCCAGAAAGCCAACCGTGTCCTGGGCTGCATCAAAAGAAGCATTAGCAGCAGGTCGAAGGTGGGGATTCTCCCCCTCTGCTCTGCCTCGTGAGACCCCACCTGGAGTGCTGTGTTCAGATGTGGGGCCCCCCAACATAAAAAAGACCTGGTCCTGTTGAAGCAAGTTCAGAGGAGAACTACAAAGATGGTCAGAGGGCTGGAGCACCTCCCCTATGAGGACAGGCTGAAAGAATTGGGATTGTTCAGCCTGGAGAAGAGGAGGCTCCGCGGAGACCTTACTGCAGTAATTAAAGGGGGCTACAGGAAAGATGGGGAGGCAATCTTTATCAGGGAGTGTAGTGACAGGATGAGGGGAATGGTTTTAAGCTGAAAGAGAGTAGATTTAGATTAGATATTAGGAAGAAATATCTTACTATGAGGGTGGTGAGGCACTGGAACAGGTTGCCCAAAGAAGTTGTGGATGTCCCATCCCTGGAAGTGTTCAAGGCCAGGCTGGATGAGGCTTGGAGCAACCTGGGCTAGTGGGAGGTGTCCCTGCCCATGGAACTAGATGGTTTTTAAGGTCCCTTTCAACCCTAACCATCATATGATTCTACGATTTCGGCACTTCTTAAGTGGATTCCACTGGTACACAATTTGAAACTATACTCATTGGGTTCTACACTGGTAGCAAATTTTCAGACTTAATGGGGTGAGGAGACAGAATAACAGTTTGCTTTCAAAGCTCTTAATAAGGCAGGTTACTTATCCCAGACAGTATCTCTATAGCCTGAGTTACAGAAAGCCAAAGTAGTTGAGAAAATAAAAGAAGAATAAAAGAAAAATCAGCACACTCTGGAGAGAGTACTACAGAAATACTAACACAGTTTCAAGGCACCTATTACTCTTGAGGGCAGTAGGAAAATGACATCTGTTATGTGAAGTTAAAGCGGTTCAAGTTTGTTGTGACTGTGCATGTGGATAGCTACTCATTATTTTTTTATTATACTTAGTATCACATTACAAAATTAAAGCTATCACCAAATTATATGTCTTGTTTCTCTGTATCACAAATATGAAAATTAATGCATTATTATCTGTTATTATTCAGGCAGGTATGAATGAAGAAAATGGTGGTAACAGCTCCTTAGATTTTACAACCCAGCTATGTTACCATGTGTTTGTTTCAGACTAAAAAGAGTGCTGGCATCCTGTAATTCACATTATATACTGCAGAGTTTATAATGATATAATAATTAGGGTACAAACATGAGAGGTGAGTTTAGACTGCTTAGAAATAGTCAAGAGCAGCTGATAGTAAAAGAATTTTATTTCTCAGTTGCAACAGCAGATTACAATCAGCTTTTGTTTAGAAGAGCATTCCAGTTTACTTGTCTGTTCAAATTAATATTTGCAGTTATTTTCAAATGTTCTATCACACACATACTTGACCAGGCAATTACCAAGGAAAGAAAGTCTTACAAAAAAGTGCTATGCAAATAGTACCTAACTTGATAATATCCCAGTAAGACTAAATTAATGCACTTGCGTATTAATAAATTCAGATTTACTAGAACCTACCTTCTGTAACAGTCAGTCTTCTTTTTTCAGGCCATGCCTTATCCTGAACAGAACCTGAAAAAAATGTACTAATATTTATTTTTAGTCAGAAAGAGAGAGAGCTTCAAGAAAATTTCAAGACTTTGCATCCCATCTCACCCAAGTCAGAAGCACTTTCCTGATTCTCTCTTTTTCCTGTTGCACTGTCAATGCACATCCAGAGTTCTTCCAACAAGAGCTTTATTTTTTCTGTTAAAATAAATATTTTCATAAATTGAGGAAAACCTCAATTGCTCAGAGAGCTGAGAATTTATGTTTCTTTGTTTTTACTCAGAAAACAGACATGCCTACAACAAAATACCCACAACAAAAATTAAAACAAGGGACACATGGGCATTTTAGCTCGAGAAATCCTAGATGCCACTGAGGGAATGGATCCTGCATGGGCCATAGCCACACAGCAGACTGAAGGAACAGATGCAGAATGCTCTAGCTTTTCCTTTCTGTAGTGAGGATGGCAAAAAGTTGTAGCATCCCCCACAGTAAAAGGTAAACAGCAGATCTGAATGTAGCATTCGTGAAACTGAACCACTTTCTAAAATAACTCAGGTGACATGAACATAAATAAGGGAGGAAATCTTTTAGGAAAGAAGTATTTGTATCACATTCTTTCTTTATGGCCACTCAGCAGTAACTCATCTCACGCTTACCATGGAACAGCCCACTAAATGTTTCTGAATTAGCAGGCCACAACATTAGTAGACATAGTGTGGAGTCCTAACAGCACCATTGCTAGGTGATGCCAACCAACCTCCTTCCAGAACCAGAAGGGCAGGTGGAAAGGGAGAAACAGACCCAAAAACTCAACAAAATACACAAGCTCCTCACCCTCTTACGCCACAACTATCATCAGATCCAACAGTCAGGAACGAAGACTATTTGTTTTGTGACAATACCATAAGACAAAGACCACAGCAAACTGCTACTATTTCATTAAGACACTTAGTAAAAAAACCTCAGCACATAAGAAGACAACCTGACAAATACTGTATGACAACTGTTAGCAACAGTAACAATTTCTCATTACTAATAAAGCCTTGCTGCTATTTGAAGCTCAAATTAGCTCAGATTTTAATTTTCCCATTTTGTCATTAATTAAAAAGTAAAGGATGAAATTAGGTACCGATTTAGTACAATCCAAAAGGCAGCAAAAATGTGTCAAGACACACAAGAACTGTCAAGGTCTACCTTTTTTCAGAAAAGTATATATTTTTGGCAACAAACTTTATATACAAATATTATAAAGCAAGAAACAGAACAGTGAAGTTCTTCTGTTGCCTGAAAATTGCCTTTAGAACTTCTAAACAATTCAAAAGTAATACCAGTATTGTAAAAGACTGCAAAAAATGCAAAAAAAAAATAGTTTAGAGGAAGTTTAGATGGAGTTTGCTCCATTACACAGTTAGATTCAGGTAATCTGTAGCAGATATTTTAGATCATTAGGGAAAAAAGTCAATAGGATAAGAAATAACTACACATCCTGGATTTCCACTCACATAGAAGGTTACACGCTTATCTTGTGTCTTTTGCTTTGTATCCTTCCTTTACAATTTCAATGAACTTCAAAGACACCAGGATTGTTTGCATTTTTCTCAGTTTGCATTCTGTTTTATAACTGCACATCAACTGACTTCACACACGCATGAGGCAGACTAGTCATTTTAATGAATCAAGTATTTTCGTTACTGCAAAACTGAAAATAGTCGTCCATTATGTTAGTCCTTTATCATATTTGTGTGTAACATATTTGTATCAACCACATCTGCTCTTACAGCATTTCTGGCAACATCCTCTGTTTCCAAAACTGCAACTCCAGAAGAGCTGCAATAAATTCATAATGGTTGGTTCTGCATGGAGAACAGTCTCGCAAAAAATCTTACCTTTGTCTATCTCTGTTGTCAAATCTTCACTTGAACTCTGGGTCTCCGCATGTTTAACTATTAAAGAGAAGAGACAGGGGAAAGGAAATGTTCAAATGGAACACCACCACACATAAATCTGAAGGAAATCAAAGGCGAACACTTACCTTTTCTGCACTTCTCTTTAAGTACACCATCAAGTTTTCCCTGTTACAATTAAATAATATTAATTTTTCATTCCGTACATAGTTTGTAGAGCATCTACTCTTAATTACCATGAAAACTACATCAACATTTCAAAGGTCATGCTTCAGCTGGAAAATTTCTATCTCTTGAGGTGAGTTGCTATTGAGTTACTCAATATCCCCAACAAATGTAATTTTACTATTTCAGTATCTCTATTACTAGTAGCTTCCTTCCCCCTCCCCCCCCACCCCCTCCAAAATACTAAAAGAATCTTCATCCAAAAGACCAGGAAAGTCTTACTTGTGCTTTCTTTAGCTCCTTTTCAAGCCTCTTCTTTTCTGTTTTCAGTTGTCTGAAATCCTGTGTATGCTTTGTCGCAGCCTCTTCAAGAAAGAGAACCAAAATTCAAGATAGAAACTACAATATAAGAGACAACTAATTTAAGTAGTATTGGTCACCAGTCTGCAAATCAAATCACCAGAAAAAAAACAGGTAGTGTGAAACAGAAATCTACTGAAGTTCTATTTTGGTTCATTAAGACAACAACTCATGAATACAAGTATGTCATCGTCCACTGCATAATTTCTGCTCTGAAGTACTGAAATACATTTATAACTTCTCTCACTTACATGCAAGAATGAAGAGTGGATCATACTGTAATGATACTGTACTGCAGAACAATATAGACCAAGTGAAAAAAGGGAATAAAATTTAAAATTAGGTGCAATGGGTTTTTAATTAGTTTTATTCTCTTATTTAAGAGGGCTCTGGTTCATCAATGAAAACACCACAGCCAACTGCATTAGAAAGATGTAGATAGCACTCAAGATTAATAAACAGAGAAGAGTACCTTAACTCTTGATGTCTAACAGGCACCTGGGAAGAGTGCAGATGGGTGGAAATAAAGAATACAGGGCAGGTAAATGAGGACTGAAGGTGAGGTTCCTAGGGAAATTCTCAAGCAACAGAGATACTTGAGAGAACTCCTGAGAGATCAGCTTGCTGATTTACACACACAGCAGAGAAAAGACAGATGGAACTTGCCTGCTGATCAGATCAGGTCAAAGGAGAGAGCATATCAAAAGAGCGAGCACTAAAAAGGCAGCTCTGGTGGTAGGCTGACAAAAAACAATCATGGGAAAATCTCAGATTGACAAAAGACACCAGGCTAATATAGAGGCTCTGGGTTATTTAATGAACACAAAAGAGAACAAAACAGATAAACTAGTCACTCAAATTGGACCTAAAGCAAACCACCTCACAGTATTTTGTTCTAGCTCTGCCAGAATTTGAGTTTTTAGTGGCAAGAGGGTATAAAAGCCTTGCTTCTCATCAGAATAAACACCCTGGACTTTACAGTAGGATTTGTGGGGTTTCTAACATTAAGATACAAGTCACTTAGTTCGCTGTACGTTTAACTGTGCTAAGCACAGCTGTAAGTGTGCCATGAATGAAAATATTTGCCTTTAGCAAGTATTAGAATGCTTTATGCATATCCACCCTCTACTAGCAAAACAAGAAAAACACAGTGCCAGGAGGCAAGTGCTTTAGCTCTACTTCAAACAAACCAAAAACCAATTGCCAGTATATTTAGAAATCAGAAAACGTGTCAGGATCACTACATATCCAAATATGATTATAAACATGAGTAGAAGAATCCTGCCAAGACTACCAGAATGCTGAAGCACACGCCCTGTGAAAAGAGGCTCGTTGACCTAGACTACTTGAGTAGATTGACAGGAGAAAAAAAAAACCAAAACAACAAAGAAACTTTAGAAGGGATCCAAGAGCCGCTATTCTGTACCTACAAGGAGGTATCAAGAAGACGCAACGAGACTGTTCAGTGGTGCATGAAGACATCAGGCGTAAGTTGAAACAAGAGAGTTGGCTTTCACCACAAAGACAGTCATGCAGTGAGGCAGGTTGCCTGGACAGGCTGGGCAGGCTCCATACTTCAAGGTTTTCACGACCAGAAGTTCCCTTTCAACTTAATTTACACCATGTGCCTAAGATACTCAACAAAAACCATTTTGCAGAAGGGCTGATGTAATTCAGAGACTGAGCGCCATGCACAGTACTGCCCTGCCCTGTTCCTTGGGGCCTCAGAGTCAGCAAGCCGCAATTACTTCTGTGGATAAAACAGGAATCAAGAGATGGAGTAGGACAACAGCACAGTAACGCAATGTAGAAAGTTACCTTCAAGTTTCTTCACTTTTGCTTCCAGCTTCTTTCTCCTGTTAAAAAGAAGGCATTAATACACCATTTTTGGATAGAATCATGTTGCACAAAATGTCAGGGAAAAAAAATTTAGCCATTTCAAAGAAAACACACTTCCTAGACCCAGTACCCGTGATACCAATGCGTCCCTGAAGTTGAAAACTTAAATCAGTGGCATGTTGCTGACATTCTCACACGAACAGCTGGATCTGTTACAAAGGCAGAGTTTGCTTACTTAAAGAGAGTCAGTCCACTAATCCAGGTACATAAATATACCTTCAGCTACAACTTGGATTTACAAACACAGCCTGAGAAAACTGGATTCTAGTTTTTGCATTTCTATGATGTAATGCAGACAGGTTAGTTTTACTCCTTAAAAACAACTAAACCTTGCTTAAAATTAATAAGACCTAAGAAATGAGACAATCGGGAATAGCCTTCAGAATCACTTATGTCCCACAGCTTTTTGTTCAGAATATCCTAGTGTTTACTAAAGCCAAACCAAAAATCTGATGCATCTTGAACAATTTTGACTTCAGCATTTCCAACCCTACCTTATACGTAAAACATAAACAGGAAAATAAAATTGGAAAAATAAAAAAAAGTAAACACTTGTTTATTTCCTTCTGTTAAACTCCAGTATACCAGAAACAGTTTTTAAACTCTTGTGGTAAGTAAAGGAACTCTGTCCAAACAAACACAAGCCACCAACGCTCATTGATCAGTTTCATGAACAAGAACACAGTTCATCCATTCCTCATATTAAAATTTGTAAAATGGATTGAGATTTACAACCTAAGCCTTTCTGGGTGTGCAGGCTTTAATCATCACTTCAGACATTAACTGGAATACATTTGAAAACCCACTCAGAAATAGGATGATTAATCATGTTGACCATGTTCAGTAGTCAAAGCAAGCTCATACTTAACTCTCTTCATACTCAGATGACGGTTTTGACAGTCAACACATAGGTGAGAATTTTATTTAAAAATGCTCTTTAAAAAAAAAAAAAGAAAAAAGGGGGGGTGTCCTTTGAAAAACAGCAAGCAACAAACTTCTGCTTTTCTGTAGATATCTTCTGACAAGTGCACAGAAGTACTACATCTACAAGGTACGGACATTGGAAGCATGGACAGGCAACACAGGAGGACTACCAAGGTGCAATTTGCCATGACACGGAGAAGATTCATGTAGCCAGAGCTCAATTAAGTGTTCAAGCTGGCCGGTACTCTGAAAGACAATGAAAACTGCTTTTTGAAATATGTTAACAGCAAAAAGAGTATCAGAGATAACATTGGCCCATTACTTGATGAGGTTGGTCACTGAACAAATACAGACACAGACGAAGCAGAGACGTTTAATGCCTTCTTCACCTCTGTCTCTAAAAGAGAGACTGAAATAGCTGGCCGATGTTATCATGGGACCTCTCTCCACTATTTTTCAACAGGCTCAGGAGTCTGGAGAGGTCCCAGTTGACTGCAAGCTGGCAAATGTTGTCCCAGTTTTCAAGAAGTGCAAGAGGGAAGGCCCTGGGAATTACATGCCTGTCAGTCTCACTCCAGTGGCAGGTAAAATTCTGGAGAAGGTTCTTCTGAGAGTTACTGAAAAACACTTCAGTGATGATCCACTCATTGGTCATAGTCAACAGGGGTTCACAAGGGGAAAGTCCTGTTTAACTGATTTCTTTTGGCAAAAAGTTCACCCATCTAGTTGACCAAGGGAAGCCAGTAGATGTCAGGTTTTCTTTTCATTTTAGCAAAGCCTTTGATACTGTCTCTCACAGCATCCTTCT